TTTTTTTGTGTGTAATCCAATTGGTAAACAAAATTTTATTTGTGAGCCATGGTTACAAAATATTTCATTTTAATGTCTGTGAAAATTCGTTGATGTTTAGTCAGATAGTTGTAAAGCCTTTAAAGCTTTATCAAAGGGAGATGATTTGCCGTTTGATTCCTGAAGCAAGTCAAAAGTTTGGATGTAGTCATTGCAATTTCTTGTCTTTGGTCTTGAAACTTCTTAAGAAGATTTTACGAAAAGCTGGAAAGTGAAAACATTAGCTAATGACAGCCGTATCATATCCAATAGAGATTGCAAGATTCTTAGATAGTAATACGGTGATCAACTCATAATGCAAAATGAACTTGTGAAAAAGGTAGGATAAAAAAAAGGCTAAACGAATATCTTGGCTTCATCCACAGAAATGTCCCCTCGCTCGACAGAAGCACTCGTAGGAGCAAATGTATGTGTTTGAGGTTCCAAGCTTCTTCAACATGATAGGATACATGCAATGCGACTCACATTCTCCGCAAAATGGACGAGATACACTATTATTGAGCACTACTTCAAATAAAGTGCTGGAATTTTGTGTTGATATTGTACTTCTTGGCATGAGCCCTGCAAATTTTTCGAGCACACAAAATATATGCAAACTAGCCCGATGATCTTTACATGTGTAGAACCATTCCTCTCGACTGATATTTTCCTCACAAATGTCACACCAGTACGTACGAATTGCCTTTTCGCCTCCATATCATAGTGAGAGAGGATGATCTTCAACTCTATGCTTTACCACTTGTGGTAAAGAGGCGCACTTGAAGCATAAGAAAAATTCACAGCCATCTTCAATGCATATGAGCATACATCTATACTTCATATCGCAGCCATCGCAGTTTCCAAATTTGGTTTGTGGCATGTAATATAAGGGATGATCCAGATGACTTGGATGAACAAATGGTTCCGAAATTGAACTGCACCGGACATCCAACATCTTATCCCCATGCTGGTACACGAAACCATTAGACATTCTATCACAAGCATCACACCAAAAGTAATCGCGTTCACTTTTTGTGAATAAAGTAAGACGTTCATTGTGTAGCACATGCCATTTTTTTTAGGAGACTCGGCGCAGCTTTGGTGGAGAATGAAATCGCAATCGATACAACCATAAGAAGATTGGAGACCGATGGGATGGATGCATGCGTTGCACCGCTTGTTTTCCTCGTACAAAACACCACCAACGTGGAGTCTAAGGTAATGCTCCTTGTGGCTGAAATGTTGTATTGTATTTTCATCTATGACCACATATGGCTCTATATCTTCAATCTCTTCAGGTATTCCTTGGAGTTCTTTCCCGTTCCAAACATCATCTCTGGTAGCACACTTCGAATGAACGACATAGCCAGGACACCTCTGACACCGATAACCACCACAAGTCCAATCCACTTTCTTGCGACACACTCCACATATAGAATTCACAACACCAAGAACAGAAGTACGGGAAATACGGTGCTGATGATGCCGATTAATGTTGAAGGCCAAGACAGTCTTGATGGATCATGAAACCATACTGAAAACATACGTAAGGGCTTCGATCTCCCTTCAGGCCGCAAGCATTACATGTGAAAGAATCTGAGGCGTGGGAGAAGGGTGAGTTGGTGCTCATGAGATTTCAAATCCACAAGCGATTGTGGTGGTGGTTTATAAACATAGCGCACATCCAAGGTGAAGTTACAAGAAGAACAATGATAAAACAATTTATTATTAACCTCTCTTCCACAAAGACGACATTTTCCATCAGAATATTCTGGTAGTTTACCCGTGAGGAGCGTAAGAGGGTGCTGGGAATGGTAAGAGTGTACCTTTAAGCTTTCTGTGGTGTTAGGTTGCCATATGCAGTCCACATGGAATGCTATATCACATTCATGGCATCCGTAAGGAGCTTCTAATACATCAATCCTCCCACATATCGAAATCCCTACTCTCGGAAAGAGTGAGCTTGTGGTGATGCATCTTCGAATTATCAATAACATCTGGTGGTGGGTACTTAATTGGCACATTGTAGATCCATGTCGAAGTCACATATCTCGCAACGATAGAATAGATTCTTGATTCTCCTTCCACATAAATTGCAATTATGATGCGGATCATTTCGAAGCTGAAGTGTGTGATCGGAGTGAGATGGATGTTCGATATATTCGGAGGACTCACTACATAAAGCCTACAAGTTGTACTCAAATATTCACTAAGTTTTAGGCTTTAAGTACAACTTGATGGATCAAAGTTCTGTTTACTAGTACCTAAAGAGAAAGATCAAAACTAGGTATGATAAACTTACCAAGGCGGAAATCATTGTATCATACATTATACGTTAGTTAATACACTCAACAGTTATTTTGAGTTTTTTTTTTTGTTCTTGTAAACTCGTTTCCATAAAGAGTTTTCAAATATTTCAGAAGGTAAAAATATAATTTTCTACAGTTAGAACGAAATTTTCATGTTTTTTTTTTTAATGAAACAAACTAAAAAGATGATATGTTTTACGATTTGATTAGAAATAAACATTTTCTTTCCTAATATTTTCAGTCCGCAGTATACGGTCTCTTCGAAATCACTAGATTTTCAGTCACGTTGACAACAGTTTTTTTCCTGGCACATAGGAATAAAATTGAAAATGATTAGAGACGAGAAGTATAAGAGACTTGGACATACTTACGACTAAATTGTGGCCAAGATGAAACCAAAAATTGATTCTCACTAAGAGTTCTTTGTCCATCCGTATCTCAATGGTCCTAAACGATTGGGAAAAAACTAAGTAGTAAATCCTTAAACAAAATTTATTTACACACACATATATATTGTAGTAGACAAGTGTTCATCATTGTGGATCTAGGTGAGAAGTATGTGGAAATCTAAGCAGAAGCTTAACACGGTAAGTGGTTATAGCTTCTTCGTGATCATCATCAATCTCTGAAAACATGGCAATTCCACGAGCAAAAGCAAAAGCTCCTGTCCCTCCTACAACCTCCATAACCTCTTCCAATTTATGTGCCATGTCTCTGCTTCTAATGCTCACACTTCCCGTGTACTCGGGTGTCTCTAACGTCAAATATATCACGTTAAAATCTGAGTTGGCAAAGTCTTCATGAGGGATTATGAATCCCTCGGCTTTGCCAACGACCCGAGAATTGTTCTCGGGTCCTTCGGTGAGTGTACGCCGGAAAATCAATGCTCCTCCTCCTCCTCTGTGGTGGTGGGATCGGGCCATGCGTTGAGTGGACTGACGAGAGGAGTAGGAGGATGGGATGTGTGTTTGTTGAACATAGAGGGAGAAGGAGAAGAGAGATTCCGGCGGGTCATAGTTCGGAACGGGTGAGAATAAAGCGAGTAGAAGGACGACGAGGAAAGAAGTCGCGACCGCGATGAGGAAGATGATTCTAGTTAGCATAATGGAGAATTAAGAAGAGTCTCTACCTGTTTTTTTTTTTTTTTAACAAACCTCTTTGGTTTTAAAGTTAGATTAGTGGTTTTGGTACAACTACTAGTTCCACAACATAACTAAACCACTACTTTCTTTTGTCCTAATTTGCTATTTTACTCCTAGCATATGAAGAATAAGTCCAAACTAGAGCCCACAAATATTTCACTTGAGTTCCAACACTTTTTGATTGGTTTAGTTTTGGATTAAAAATATAAAACACAAATAAATCATTCTAATAAATTAGTTGCTCCAAAATTCAGTTTGCTTAGCATAAAATATTGTGGCCTGTTCGATATTAAAATCTGCTTTGGTTTTGTTTTTAATGTACAACTCACACGAAGCTAAAAACGGAAGGATTCTGAAATAAACCAAAGAATTGGAAAAATTAGAGTAAATTTATCGACTAAGTAAAGGTTTCGCCTTACGTACATGTCCTATGCTATTGACGAGATCTTTACGTGTACACACAGGAAACATGTTGATGTTCTTGAGAACTTTCAATCGCCAAAGAACGTATGGGAAACTCAATTGATCACGCGAAGTGTATCGGACCACTTCATTGAACCAGAGGCACATGAATAAATTYGTCAATGGAGTGTGTTCCCTCACAATCACAGAGGCTTCAGACAAAGCTGCAAGAAAGTAAAACAGAGAGAAATTATTATTTGTCACAGACTCTATCCTCAAAGCAAAAAAGAAATGTACCTTTTTTCCCGTTGAATCTTTTATCTTCTGGTAATTTGTCACGTCGGTATTGATTTATTTGCACTTCAACTTCTTCGGGTGTAGCTTTGTGTTTCTTCACAACAGCTTTTGCCTCGTCATATACACTGCTTCGAGCTCCATGTTCTGAAATTGCAAGCACTGAGTTTGTTCGCCAAAGAAGAGCATCTAGTACACCGAGTGGGTCCCTTCTAAACTGGGACTTTGAGTCTACCCAAATCGAGTACTTCGCATCCGGGAAAAGGCGATGTGCCAACATCTGCCAACATATAGATTCATTAAAATCTTCATGACAACATCTTATATTATACTCGCATATGTTCGAGAGTAAAAGGGAAAGCCAAATATGGTGACTCTAACACCATATCTAAAACAAGATCGGAAGGTATAAGAAAATAGGAGAACCGCAAACTAATTCAAATCAAGCGAATACCATTTAACACGCACAAAATGAAAGCAAAAGAAAAGTTCAAACTTTGGTATTAATGGAAATAAATTCTCAAATAAAAGTAGGTTCGATCAGCATATAAGCAGAAGATCCCGAAGGCGAAAGTTTGAGGATCTAGAAGAAAAGGTAAGTACCGCCAACAGATAAGTAGCAACTAAAAAACCCCAGTGAATAAAATAGCTGAAGCGCTAAAGAGAACAACAAACTCTGGATCGGAAGTAGATGACCAGTACCTTTGGGATCTTTCCGTTAAGCCTTTGGTCTGTAAAAGGCAGATCCTTTACTACCACAATACGCCACTTTCCAATGTATCCATTCTCACCAATCTTACGACCCTCTGTTTCCTGTGCTGCGAGAGTAACTTCATCCCAAAACGCAACGTAGCAAACCTGCATCCACAAAACTCATTCAGGATTGGATGCAGCAGACAAAGTAGTTCAACAAAGACTAATGAGCAATGGACAGTTTCGCTTACTCGATATACAAGAGAAACCGTTCAAGAGCAATGGAAAGTAGAAAATCAGAGTGACCAACCTTTTGAGTTGATGCCTTTGACATTCCAATAGGTTCGTAAAGGTTATCTCCACCACCAAACGCACAAGTCGAGACTACTACTTGGCATGTTTGCATAAACTCCTTATCCTTGTCTGAAATCCTGAATCCCCCATTTTCATTGAAAAAACCACAATGCACTGAAACTGTTCCACTTACCTGATGCAAAAAAAAAAACAAAATTCAGCAATCAAGAACTCGAGCTCCATTAGAATTATGGGAAGTTCAAGTTCTTAGCCTTGTAGAGTTACCAAGTCATGACCTGAAAACTATTCTGTCTCTCAGCAAAAGTCTGGTTCCCCGTAAATAAATTAAACCGCGTCCCATTAACACGAACAGCTTTCTCTTCACCCATCGAGGTATCTGTATCGGTTAGATACACGACTTGTTTAACAGGAGAGCTTGAATCTCTATGCTCTAGGATATCAAGATGCTCAAGCTCATCAGGAGGCAGAAGCTTCAAACAACCTATCACAAATCCATAAACACTAAACACTATCAGCTTTACAAAGTAAAATAATCCACATGATCAAATACAGACCCCAAAATATCATTCCAAAATCAGATCCACTACAAATCCTTGTAACATAGTTAGAGCAAAAGAAGATCCTCATTACTACAACTAGACAGTTAACTTAGTGATAGAGACACTAATTGCAAATATTAGTGTTAAGATCGAGCTTACGTTGCCTAACACCACCAATAACCTTAGTGGTAGGATCCAATCTGTTCAAATTTCCTTCATTTTTCTTGCTTGGACTCTCTTTTCCACTCGAATCTGGTTTCTTCAACTCGTTGAGTTTCGAATTCTCCGATTTCCTCCCGATCCTCGTTGATTCGAAGACGAGCAATCCGACAGCTAGAAGGAAAACCAAAACGACCCAGTACCTAAGGAAAGCCCTAAGAAGGTACCGTGGCAGCTCGAAGCTGGTTTTGTGAACCGATTTCTTCCGCTTTCTACGGGTTCGAGCCCGGATCCGATTCAAATCGTTAGACTCGTCGTCGGAGACTGAGATCGATACACTGTTGTTGCTGCTGTTAAACATTGTGGTATCGAATGTTTAGGATCGATTTGGAATGGTTCATG